ACCATCAAGACAAGCTCGGCAATGAAGGACATCTGCTGTGGCTGAACATCTTTCTATGGGAAGGAAAACAGGACATAAAGTCAACTTTGACAACACCAACATACTGACAATCAATAAGCACATAGATAAAACCAGGAGACTTCATGAAGCTATCCACATCAGAAGATATCAGCCTGACCTTAACAGAGATGAAGGTGTTCGTTTATCGCATGCATATGATAAACTTATCAACTTGTAATTATTCATATTCAAAAACAATTTCCAACTTTAAGCATAGTTAGTTATATGAACAATGTAATTTCTATTAATAAAAGACTCCAATACCAGCAATAGTTGTTTATTTAATCTTCAATTAATCTTTTTTAATTCATTTACTTTACTTCAATTATTTTACTTAATCAGCCTGTATGTTATTTTAAGAATTATATACCTCTTATTGTACCGGTTAAATTTAATGTAATCTATCAATAAACCATTTTCTCTTGTGTGTTCTTAATAATAAGCATTAATGTATATATAGTTTGCCCATCACTTCTTCTCATTATGTGCCTGAGGACGACGGGGGAAACACGTCGAAACGTTGCATAAAACTTTAACCAACTCTAGTCTAATAAAGTATAAAGCCATTAATCACTGCTTGGTATTACAATAACTTGATTACCAACCCAATAATCTCTTAATTACCAGTTATAAGTGTTAAATTAATCATCAATTCAATTATCTACTAACGGTACTTCTTTGTTTACATTTAGAAATTGAAACATAGTTATCTCCCTTAATCTAAGCAAGATAATTCTGACCTATATTCTATTTAAACATTGCCAATTAGTCTTGAAATATGTTTTGAATTTCTGACAAAAATCAAGAAAGTTTTAAATTTTTACAGTTAATCTCCCGCAAAAAAAACGAACTTAAATTCAGAAAAATGTAAGTTTTAGTTATTACATGGTATCATATATATATACATCAGCTTATTTTGTTAAAACCCCATCTTAGGGTTAGTTTTACTTTTTACATTATCTTATATTCATTATAGTCCTTTGCATAAGTTTCCCCATGGTATTATACATCATTTCATATTATCTAGTATTTTCTAGTGTAAGTGTAAATAGATTACGTGCATAGATAGATATAAAGTTTTACTGTAATGATAAAATACTGTGATATTTGTTAAGATATATTCCTAATAGTGACTTTAATTCGCTGACATTTTTTGGCTGTGTAGCTTTATTTATGGACTCGATCTTCTTTGAATCAGCAGATATACCATTCTGATCGAAGATATGACCATAAAATGATATTTATTGGTTCCAAACACACATTTCGACTTGTTGAGTCCAACACCAGCCGATTCAAGTTTCTTGAGTGTTGTTCGAAGATTTCTATTATATTCAGTTTCATCTCGACCAAATATGATTATGTCATCTGACAGGTTGAGTGTTCCTGGAATGTCTGCAAGTAATTCCCTAACAGCATTCTGGAAAACCTCTGAAGCAGTGTTGACACCAAATAAGAGTCTTTTATATCGACGGAGATCAACATGTGTGGAGAATGTTTCTACTATCGACATCCAGTTCCAGCTGATAATAGGCATTTGTTAGGTCACATATTGAAAATACCTTCATTCCATTCAGATCAGATATTAAGTCATCTATGGTTGGCATAGGATGCTTTTCCCATTTAATTGCTTTGTTAGCTTCTCTCTTATCTATGCATAAGCGAACACCAGTTTTCTTTGGAACTACTACTATTGGGCTTATCCATGGTGTAGGGCCTGTAACTTTTTCGATAATATCAAGTAATTCCAATCTTTTCAATTCAGCTTCGACATCTTTCCGAACATGAAAGGGTATACGTCTGTGTTGCTGTTGTTTTGGTACAACATCTTTATCAATATGTAGATGAACTAATTTATCTTTAATTTTACCAAAACCAGAAAAGATGTGCTCAAAGTCTTTTAAAATACTAAGTATCTCTGAAGACTGTACAACAGAATTAATTTGAGCAATGTGTAGAAGTCTTAGATCTACAGCTGTTTGGTAACTTAGAAGATTTCCAGTAGCATTCTTCACAACATACAATAAAGCTTCTTTCACTTTGTCTTTAAATTTGGCTTTTAAAGTTACATCAGTTTCTATTGGTACCTTTGATCCATAAGCATATAACTTCTTTGTAGATCTATTGAGCTTAAGTTTCTTCTCAGTATCTTTCTGGATTTTTAGGAAACAATTTCTGACAGATGAACCAGAGTCAATCATTACTGATATCTGAACACCATTCATAAAAATGTTACAATGTGGCTGTTTATCAGTTATGGTATTTATTGTAAATACAGAATCATCTGACATCATCTAAATTTCTAACATGTCCTGATTGCTCAGAGATCCTGCGTTTATTACACACACTGGCAAAGTGATTTCTTTTAACACAGTAATTACAAGTTTTCCCTTGGGCTGGGCAGGTTTTGTGATTTTCAAATGTTCCACATTTATTACATCTCCTAGCCTTAGGTTGATGATCCTCCTTGTTGGATTTATAGCTTGGCATAGGATTATCTTGTTGCCAGCTCCGATTTTGTGGTTGCCAGATTACGTGTTGAACGACTACATTGTTTTATCATTTTCTTCAAGTTTTGTTGCTTGAGTTTCACTGATCTTAAGGGCGCTCCCTGCATCCAAAAGTGCTTGAAGACCAAGATTCTCACGTAAATCGCGTCTTCTTAGACGTTGTGATGAACAGTGGAGGATAATTTGACTGGCGATTTCCTTATCGATATCGGCAAATTCACATGTCTTGGCAAGTGTTCTTAATCGTGTGTGATAAGAGTCTAAATTTTCATCATCTGATTGTTTTGCTTGGTGAAAGTTGTAGATTTCACAAGTTACACAAGTTTTTGGAATAAAATATTCGTTCAATTTTGTTACAGCTGTATCAAAGTCATTTTCTTCACCTGTGTTTCCAAGAGTATCGAAAATTTCGTCAACATCCGGTCCAGCATAGTGAAGCAAAAGGGCTCTTTTACGAGTATTACCATTCGTTAAATCTCTCAAGCTACTTTTTCCATCTTGTCCCTATGCCATCTTGTTGAGTATCTAATGGTGGGAAAGTTGGCAAACTAAGACTGGCCATGTTACAGGAAAAACTGTAAACAAAGAATTTTCTCTGCGGGGCTTAACTCAATACTTGCACGGCTTACGACGTGTCCTTTGACTTCTTCATGTTGGAATTTTTATCCAAGAATTAAGCTTCAAAGTTACGTTGATGACTAAAACTTATCTTGCATAAACTCTAATGTTTATGTCGCCATTGTGATATCCTTTGTATGAATATATATTATAGGTTCGGAGTTTCAAAAACAGATAATATAAGACAGTTATTTAATGACATAATTCTGTCGGCATTGTACACAACATCAAAGTGCCATACAAGGAAAGACAACTCAAAGTATATCAATAATTACGGATTGATTGTGGATCACGACACAACACACTCCTCGTTTAAAGGTGCTTGGGTATTGGCGATGAACTCCATCCAGTGATCATAACTGGATTTGTCTGTCATTGGCGTCCAATGGATATCATCTCCTTTGACTTATATTATTGTATCTGCTTGGGGAATGATGGTGGTATATGGTGGAGGATTGTCGGCTATCGATGAATTAAAGTTATCCCAATTCTTGCTGTCTATTTTATTTTTGAGTCGAAAAGTATAAGCTGTAGGTATGTGGGTGATATATATCTGGGAACTGGGAAATTCGGAAGAAGCTATAGAAATAAGGTTGGTTATTTTCTTCATGATGGTTTCACTTGCTTCACTTCTGTTGTTGAGACCGACATGGAAAATAATATGTTCAGGATCAATGCTGTTAGCTGCTGGTTGATGTTGGTATTTTTTCAAGATCTGAATAATGTGATCTATTTTTGCTCTTGGGTAAGACTCGATCAGGTAGAATCTTTGGATGACGAACTAGAACTGGGTATAGAGGACGAACTGGAAGGAGACAAACTGGAAGAGGGTATAGAAGACAAACGGAAAGAGGGTATAGAAAATGAACTGCTGGAGGGTATAGAAGAAAAACAGGAAAAGGGTGGGTGATTACAAACAACCATACCAAGTTTCATCAAAATCAGTCAGAAATTGTGCCTTGTAGAGTGTTTACGAGCAATTGTGGACGGACCGACTGACAGACAGACATTTCATGTGGGCATATAAAAATTACAAATGATATACAACTGATTCTTTGTCAAGGTGCATTCAAACTGAAAAGTCATCATGCCAATGATTTTCAATAGTGTTGAAACGGTTAATCAGTTAACCAATTTCAGGTAGTATTTCACGGGTAACCGGGTCTGATTTGAGATAATCGGTATCATCTCCTTTGACTTTGATGATTGTATCTGCTTGGGGAATGATTTGTACCGACAATTCGCAGGGAACTAGCCAAAATCTTCCAGGGTATTCATTTACATTTACTCTAGTTTAGTTAACGGTGAGTTACCGCCGCAAATGCGGTTTTTGACTCCTTTTATCATCTTTAGTAATTAACCGGGTAACAAACGGTTATTGCCGACGATTACCCGGTTTGTAAAATTCACTAACCGTTTCAACACTAATTTTCAAACTTGGATACCAACATTAGACTGACCTTTTGTTGGTACCGGAACCTCTATTTGGCCATCTAGGGGAAAATATAAGGAATGCCATGTAGTTTGCGTAGCTAGGAATTTTAAAGAAGGAGAAGTGGAAATATATTTCTTACTTATTGGCGAAAAGCCTACTGTTGAGCTTTCTGATCAGGAGGTTTTAGAAGTCAAAATTGCAGGATTCCCAATCTGATATATTTCTTTAGACATTAAGGTTATAGAAATCGAAAATTGAATTACCTATCTAGAGGCTGTAAATGTTGTTTAAGTTGATTTCGCTGTCCATTACTCTCTACTCCACTATCATCACTAGGCTGATCGTCTCCCTTTAATTATAATTATTTTATCTTGAAGCAGACATCAACTACACAAGGGTTGAGATATTTTGACACACTGTTGTGCGGATCATGCAATTGAAAGGAAATGAATCTGATCATTTTATAAAATATAAAACGAAATTGATATCACAAATCCTGTTTACATGCTCAAAATTGAACGCATTTAATATTCAAATGACAAAATCTTAAGCCAATAATCAACAGATTTCAACATCATATCTTTTAAATGGCACATGACAAACCTTTCTATTAGGTACATGAACATCAGCTCTAACAATCATTCCTGTTGTCATGGTGATATCGTTAGAGGTTGATGGGATAGAATCATCTAGATTGAATGGCAGATGTGAGCGATACTTGTTGCGACCTCTACCACTGTTACCAGATAAATCACCATATGATTTACTTTTACCTCTTAGCTGGCCTTCCTAGTAAACAAAGAACAAATTAAAGAAAGAAAAGCTGCATAAAAATGTTCATATACACATACCAAATTGGATCAAAACAGATAAATCTGTAGATTCTAAAGTGTTAGCTACTGTTAACAAGGAAAATTTAAACATTTGATTATTTAAGGGGGAGGGGGGGGGGGGGGGGGGGCTACGGGCCTGGATAAGACATGAAAATTTCACACTTGCACCATATTTCCCTGAAGGGAAACCAGTCGAGCCTTATACATCGGACCAAGGGTGGCTTAAAAGAAAAGTCTTCTTCCTTTGTTCTTAATACTGTGTTGTCAAGGAAGCAGATCTAGAAACATTGGAAACGTAAAATATTAACCTGTTTATCAATACGTTTTCTGATCATATTACCACTTTCGTGTATCTGTTCTATAGCATCACGTAATGACTGTAAATCTCCCTCTGTAAAACCCTATAATATATTAGAAAGTTTACTGATTATATTCCAGCTTTCTTGTATCTGTTCTATAGCATCACATAATGACTGTAAATCGCCCTCTGTAAAACCCTATTATATAACAGAAAGTTTACTAATTATATTCCAGCTTTCTTGCTGTATCTGTTCTATAGCATCACATAATGACTGTTAATCTCTCCCTGTAAAACCCTATAATATAATAGAAAGTTTACTAATTATATTCCAGCTTTCTTGCATCTGTTCTATAGCATCACATAATGACTGTAAATCGCCCTCTGTAAAACTCTATAATATAACAGAAAGTTTACTAATTATATTCCAGCTTTCTTGTATCTGTTCTATAGCATCACATAATGACTGTAAATCGCCCTCTGTAAAACCCTATAATATAATAGAAAGTTTACTGATTATATTCTAGCTTTCTTGTATCTGTTCTATAGCATCACATAATAACTGTAAATCTCTCTCTGTAAAACTCTGTAATATAACAGAAAGTTTACTAATTATATTCCAGCTTTCTTGTATCTTTTCTATAGCATCACATAATAACTGTAAATCTCTCTCTGTAAAACCCTATAATATAATAGAAAGTTTACTGATTATATTCCAGCTTTCTTGTATCTGTTCTATAGCATCACGTAAATCTCTCTCTGTAATACTCTGTAATATAACACAAAGTTTACTAATTATATTCCAGCTTTCTTGTATCTGTTCTATAGCATCACATAATAACTGTAAATCTCTCTCTGTAAAACTCTGTAATATAACACAAAGTTTACTGATTATATTCCAGCTTTCTTGTATCTGTTCTATAGCATCACATAATAACTGTAAATCTCTCCCTGTAAAACCCTATAATATAATAGAAAGTTTACTGATTATATTCCAACTTTCTTGTATCTGTTCTATAGCATCACATAATAACTGTAAATCTCTCTCTGTAAAACTCTGTAATATAACACAAAGTTTACTGATTATATTCCAGCTTTCTTGTATCTGTTCTATAACATCACATAATAACTGTAAATCTCTCTCTGTAAAACCCTATAATATAATAGAAAGTTTACTGATTATATTCCAGCTTTCTTGTATCTGTTCTATAGCATCACATAATAACTGTAAATCTCCTTCTGTAAAACTCTGTAATATAACAGAAAGTTTACTAATTATATTCCAGCTTTCTTGTATCTGTTCTATAGCATCACATAATAACTGTAAATCTCTCTCTGTAAAATCCTATTATATAACAGAAAGTTTACTAATTATATTCCAGCTTTCTTGTATCTGTTCTATAGCATCACATAATGACTTTAAATCTCTCTTTGTAAAATCCTATTATATAACAGAAAGTTTACTAATTATATTCCAGCTTTCTTGTATCTGTTCTATAGCATCACATAATGACTGTAAATCTCTCTCTGTAAAACTCTATAATATAACAGAAAGTTTACTAATTATATTCCAGCTTTCTTGTATCTGTTCTATAGCATCACGTAATAACTGTAAATCTCTCTCTGTAAAACCCTATAATATAATAGAAAGTTTACTGATTATATTCCAGCTTTCTTGTATCTGTTCTATAGCATCACGTAATAACTGTAAATCTCTCTCTGTAAAACCCTATAATATAATAGAAAGTTTACTGATTATATTCCAGCTTTCTTGTATCTGTTTTATAGCATCACATAATAACTGTAAATCTCCCTCTGTAAAACTCTGTAATATAACAGAAAGTTTACTAATTATATTCCAGCTTTCTTGTATCTGTTCTATAGCATCACATAATTACTGTAAATCTCCCTCTGTAAAACTCTGTAATATAACAGAAAGTTTACTAATTATATTCCAGCTTTACTGTATCAGGTCTATAGAATCTCATTACATTTGTAGGTAACTATTTCTGTAAAACCCTGTATAACACAGTGATTCAGTATTGTACAGCTAAACCAAAATTATCAAAAACAATCTGACTTACCTGATTAGAATTTATAACTGGATTCATTAAAAATACCTGGTTCCCATTTCTGTCTGGACCCTAAACATATTTAGAATCATCTTTATAAGTCTTAGAAAATCCAGGTTAAGCGAAAATGAATTCTGACTGATGTTTCAGAACAACTAGAAATTCATTTATTTCAATTGGCAACAAATTTAAGTTCTAGATGCATATTATGCAGAATATTAGTGAAACTATTATTTGTTTTTATCAATTAACACATTATTATCATGTTATTTTGCTGGGACATTTTGCTGGGATTGTATGAAAAGCAATAAAAATTTAGCATGAATTATAACGATTTAACAAGATGGTTCATTTCATTTTGTTGGAATTAGTGAGAATTGACAAATTATAATGATTTATATTTCTCTAATTCAGATAATAGTTAACTGGTAACACATTTTAATGGTATACTACTCTGTAGTTTTATATAATTATACTAAGGAGTAGTATACCATAAAGCTGTGTTCCGTTATCTTCTGTGATCTTGACATGTCCATAAGGATTACTTTAAAAGTTATAAATTGACAACTTACCAATTGAGAAGAAAAAAGTGTTCGTTTATTTTGATCTTCAAAATGGAGATCAGTACTGTCATAGGACATGAGAGAAAATGAATCTGGCAACATGGTGGACAATCGACCCAGCTGAAATTGGAACACACATCATAACTAATGAATGGTTGGCACATATATTATTTTTAATTTATTAGACTTATTAGATGGCATTTTGCTTCAAAGGAAATGTTACTTGTAAGTCCAAGATACTGATGTTTCATTTCACATAAAACAAATACTAAAATTAATTTGTGACCACTCAGTAGAAAGTTTCATGACAGCTTTAACTACCGTGGTTTTTTTCTGATCTAAATTAAGGTTCCATGACATGGAAATCTCATCATAAAGTTACCAAGTATCAAATTTGTAGTCTCTTTTATGTTCATAAATCCAATTTGGAGAGATCTGAGCTGAATTAAAGACAATTCATATATGTGTACATACAAAAAAAAAACTGCCTCTAAAATTTTTAAAAGGTCCAGGGTTCAATCCCGGCATAATTGAAGATAATACCTTCGGATTTTTCAACCCGGTTTCCCCCTGTCAGTGATGCAGGTAAGAGGGGCTGACATGGAAAAAGCTCCCTCGATCCCTCGACAGTAAAAAAGTCACACGATAATTTGGTCACAGTAATAAGGTCACACGGTAATTTGGTGTGTGACCATATTACTGTGACCAAATTATCGTGTGACTTTTTACTGTGACCAAATTACTGTGTGACCTTTTTACTGTGATCAAATTTTCTGATGACCGAATTTTATGTGACCTAATTACCAAGCCCCCAGTAGAACAGCGATTCATTTGATGTATATTTAACTTGGTGAAATAACTTGAAATACCAAAAAATGTGGGCATATAAAAAAAACCTGAACTCACCCCGTGTACTTCTGCTTCTTTTTTATGAACAAGATGATCAAATGTATCTAAATCTTTAGGATGGAGTATTGGACGGATTTCATTGATTAATGTCATCTACAACAATAGAAACATGACAAGAATATATTATAATTTGTTGATAATATAGTTTTCGAATCATACTGCATAATGGATGATGGGTAAATAAACCAAGTACTAACAATCCAACCCGCAGAGCAAATCCGAAATTTGCGAAACATTGGTAGCGGCTAATGAACTTTTCACATGAGGAAGCAATCATAAGTGAGTAAGTATTTCATAATGCAAAGTGGTAGCAGGTGTCTAGAAGAGTAAGTATACCCTGATACTTTTGATATCTTTGGCAATTCAGACTATTAATAAAATTTGGGCAAAAGACGTCACATTGGCTTTACACACTCATTATGAGTCTATGCTTGCAGAAAACCTTAAGATGATTAAGTTATGCAATTTTTCAGACCAAAATTTAAAACGGTTCTCGTCGGTGGCTGTTAATTGGGTTTAAAAAAGCTTTTCGTTGATTACTCAATACTCTTAAACAATATTCACACATAATCAAATCTCTTAAAACTGCAGAAAGCTTTCGGACAAGCGCATGGATGTTGACACCGTGGTGCCTGCTCCGTCATCTCTTAAGATAGTCAACCTTATTCCATACCAAACCAAGCCTCAATGAGAAAATGCTAAAACTAACAAATCAATAACCTACGCAGCACGTCGAATGAACCAGTTCCTACCTCACCTAGAATACTAATTGCAAATTACGGTAAACCATTACCAAAAACATCTCTCTCTCTCGCTTTTGTGTTTAGGTCAAACTTTTGAACCTTTGGCAAAACCACCCTCAACAGTACCAATTTTATCGTCGACTGGGAAAGGCACGTGAACGTTCAAACTCAATTACTTCTTTCGCGAAAAGCTTGGCCGCGGTAAACATACGAAATTTATGGGAATCTCTGACTGGATTTCACAAGCTGATAGACAAAGGAATTCTTTCAATTTACCATAATATGTACTCAGAGGTACGAGAAAATAATTCAACAAACTTTGAAAGAAAAGCTATAAATGAATTGAAATTGATACCAGCATCATCATTTGGAAAAGCGATAAAGGCAGTTTTTGTGTTATTCAATATATTTCTGAAATAATAGATAACATTATCACAAACTCAAGAGACTTATTTTTATGGAAACTAAACGAAATTTTGCAAATTCTAGCAATTAGATGTTCCCCAAAATGCTTTGTTTATTACACTAGATGTGACTTAAATGTATACTAATACTGACAATGATAACAGTTTAGATGATGTCCGAAAAGCCTTTGAACGAAATCCATGCGAGAAAATACTTTGAACTGACTTTGATTTCAATGGAAAAACTTAACTTACTTATCTGGTACAGCTACAGGGAAACGCTTTGCTCTAAGCTATGCAAACAATTTTATGGCCTAGTGGGAGCATGAAATATTGAGTTTTTAATCTTACAAACCTTTTTTTCTACGAAGTTTCTTGACGATATTTTCTATGGAGTTGTTTCGATGCCAATATTAATTTCCTTGCAAAATGACAAAAATACAAATGTCGATTTGTAAAAGTACATTTGTCGAATTGTAATTTGTAGAAAATACATTTGTCAATTTGAGAAAGTTCAAATGCATATTAGTAATTTAGAGATTGATTTGTAAATGTTCATTTCAACCTCAATTGTCGATTTGTCAACTTTACAACTCTAGAATTGTATCAGCTCGATGTTGAAATGACGAAGTGTGAAATGTCGATTTTACAAATGTAGATGTTACAATTAAGTGATTGTATTCGGGAAGTTCCGTCAATTCTCATCTATAGTCGTAGCTTTCCGTAAGAGGTCAGCTCCACCCACTAATTTACATACGAGCTTGAACTCTCGGTCGAAATTGACAAATGTAACATCTACTAGCTGATATTGTACAGAAAACCCATGTTTATCAAAACAAACTAATGCGAAGGTCGCTCATGTAAATTATTAACCATTTCCGGAAATCCACGAATAATAGGTTTCCACGAAATTAGGTTACTTGACTACAGATTAACATTAGGCCTACTATATTTACAGGAACCATACTAACTATTCTCCACTTAAAATGAAGTTTACCTTGGCTTGAGTATTAAGTAGTTCAAATAAAGCAAAGACCAGGCCATCTATCATGATACTATTTCGTTGATATTCTGTTAAATAATAGCGTAATGTAGCTTGTTCAGTTTCATTCAATAATATTCTAGACTGTTCTTCTATCATATCCCATTGTGTCCTTGCCATGGAGTTTAACATTAACTGTGATCCTGCTCCCCTCATAAATCCATTTTTTCTAGTATGATGCTGAAATAAGATCATAAGTTAATGGATTATTATTATACTCACATGTACTGAGAGAAAAACCACAAATTTGTGAAATACAAAACTATAAATACATGAAATACGAAACCACAAATACATGAAATACAAAACTACAAATACAAGAAATACAAAACCACAAATAATACATGAAATACAAAACCACAAATAATACATGAAATACAAAACCACAAGTTATACAGGAAATGCAAAACCACAAATATATGAAATGCAAAACCACAAATGCATGAAACACAAAACTACAAATACAAAACCACAAATGCATGAAATACAAAACCACAAATACATGAAATACAAAACTACAAATACAAGAAATACAAAACCACAAATAATACATGAAATACAAAATCACAAGTTATACAGGAAATGTAAAACCACAAATATATGAAATGCAAAACCACAAATGCATGAAACACAAAACTACAAATATAAAACCACAAATGCATGAAATACAAAACCACAAATACATGAAATACAAAAAATCTTTTATTAGGTCAGAGTTGTTAACTTCGCTGTATGGGACAATCATATCTGATTGCAGGTTAAACAAAAACAATTTGAAGAATATATGCTTACATGATATGTACTGTTTAAATTGGTTAAACTGGATGACAACCTAATCAATAAAAACAAATTTATTATTATATTCATTACATATATTTATAACACTTTTTATTCATTGTTGCTACACCTCATTTGACTAATGAAGAGAGAAAAAGCCAGAAAGTGGGCAATGCGGAAAATTTTAACAGGACAATGGCATTTACAGTTTTGATATTTCAACTTTCATTTGTTTTGTACTGAATAAATCTTGTTGCTTTTCCATGCAAGGATTCTTGAGAACCAAAGTTTATTTCTGCATATTTTTATATCATAGTCTGATTGTTCAGAGAAGCATCAAGTCAGAGTAGTTATCTAGTTCACTCCAATTCAAATAAGATAACAATTTTTTGTTTTCTGATATTTTTAGTCTACATTGTAATATAAATGATTTCTACCTATCAAAATGTGTCATGTAAAACCTGTTACTTGATAATATAAGGAATTGTGGGATAGCAAAACCCAAAGAGAATGTCATATTGCTGTAGTTAAGGGTTCTGTATCTTATTTTATAAAAAAACCGCTTATAGTGATACGCTTTGATTAGATAATAATACTATCTTTAGGAAAGACCTTTAGTAGAAAACTTGTTAGATTACCATGGAGACTAAAAATATCAAAAAAACGAATAAGAGACGAAATTATTATCTAGTTATTTTAATTAGATTTTAGAACTCTCTTGACAGAAGCGGGTAATTAACTGACCTGCCATGAACTTGATGAGACTGTGGAGGTATATGATCTTTCTCTATCCACTGGGTTTTATCAATGATTGTTTTAGCAAATGGTAATTTTCCAACATCTTTGACGGTAATTACCATGTGATGACTGACTTTTAAAATTTTTACAGCTCTAGAATGGCTGACATCCAAAAAGCTATGCCCATTAACATCAAGAATTTGATCTCCAACCTACAATAGAATTATGGAAAAATCTTTGCAAGGAACATACATTGTTCATCTCTCTTGAAGAACCAATATCAAGTCAATATTTTCTCTGATTGATTCTGTGAGCACTTTTGAAGTGAGTCTTAAATAACAAATACAATCTCTGTATGTATGGAAACCATAAAGGGACAGATACATCATATTTTTGACCAATTATACTTAAGTCTCAGAAACGGGAATTTGTTTTAGCTAAGCCAATCAGTAAGAGCTCACCATCAAAATTTGAGCCTTAAAATCCATGTGTGTCCAGAATTAGCTGCTTGTGAGTGTTAAGATAGCTTGTCAGGCAAGGTAATATACGCCCACTGGCAGCTTTGATTTTAAATAAAAATATTTAGCAGTACAGTAACAATTACCAGTATGAAATATTCAACCTTCAGACATACATTTCTTATGAAATATTTGAGGCGATACTGAATAATATTACCAAGTTTCATCAAAACTGTCAAGAATTGGGCCTTCTGGAGTGTTTACAGGCTAAAACGTGAATGCTTTTCAAGAACAAGGGCAATAACTCATACCAGTCTGATTTTCAATGGTGACAACAACACTCACACCAAGTTTCGTCAAAATCTATCTATAATTGAAGCTTCTAGAGCGTTTATGAACTAAATATTGAACGTGTTTTAAAGAACAAGGGCAATAACTCATATTAATTATTTTTGATTATTCTGATTTTCAATAGGGTTCATCCTTTGGTGATTACAAAGACTCACACCAGGTTTCATCAAAATCGGTCCAGAATTGTGCCTTCTACAGTGTTTACAAGCTAAAATTGAATGCGTTTTCAAGAACAAGGGCAATAACTCATACTAATTATTTTGTTATCTTTTTGATTTTAAATGGGGTTCATCCTTGGATGATAACAAACACTCACACCAAGTTTCATCAAAATCCGTTAAGAATTGCACCTTTTAGAGTGTTTACGAGTGTTTAATTAACAAGGGCAATAACTCATACTATATATTATTCTGATTTTCCCCATATCAAGTTTCGTCAAAATCAGTCAAGAATTGTGCCTTGTTTTAAAACATGGACATATAAAAATGATAAATTGTCAAGACATGTCCCTTTCAAAGTAGGAAGCTCTTGTGACCTGTGCCTATTCTAGAAGCATGCTATGTGGTTCTATAACACAGTCAGTTAAAGAGTTGGTTCATTACAGTCATGACGTCATGATGGAGCAAGTTCGAGTTCTAATCGTCATTTGCATTAGTTCCATTCGATCCAGCTTTAAAAGATTTATGGTTTGACCAAGGACCAGCTGGTAGAGAGGATCCTTAAATGGTATTCTTGTTTCTTTTCGTTGTCCATACAAAGCCTACTTACTGTTAGTTTGAAAATCTATTTTTGCAAGTCAATAACTTCATAGGTCTAAGCTCCCCTATTTGCATTACATTGAGTATCTGGTTAATAAAGTATAATTTTATACGCCCATATGAAATGGGGAGATTCCAAAAAGAAAAAGCAGCCAGCAATAACCACTCAAAGAAGACTTTTTGATGGACCACCAATACCACTAGTAGCACAGCGATTCATTTGATGTATACTGAACTTGGTGGAAAAGATAATAAAACTTGACATCAAATACCAAAAAAATGAGATAGGCGTGGCACATTCAGGTCAAATTACTCATTATTGACATTTTTGTACAGGGGCATAACTTGCATAGAATACATTTATTCAAAAACGAACTTTGCATACAATTACCTCATCTATTTAGCCACTTTTTCTTATAAGCTCAGTTGTTTCAGCTGTATAGTTCAAAAAAAGGAACAGGTTTTGGAAATTCAATATTTTCAAATTTTGACATTGACCTTTTTTGACCTTGACTTTTGTAGGAGGTCATTCCCATTGGCTATCTATTTATACTTTTATATTTTTTTTGTCTTATGTCAACTTCCAGTTTTACAGCCGTATTCAATTTCAAATTTTGATGACTTCTATCTGGTAACCTTGACCTTTGTTGACCTTCTACTTTTCAAGGTAAAATGTCATTGACTTTGGCTATCACCTGATACTTTCATTTGTGAGGTCTGTCTACTTCCGGTATAACAATTTTCCAAAGAATTAAAATTTCTCAACTATAGACTGTTCTTGCACGTGACGTAATTATCGTAGAGTCTTTTGCAATTTGCTACATTTGCAAAGTCTAACTCTGTGCCACGTGTGACTCTTTTTTTTCATTCATTCATTACATCGTCCCATGGGTTGAATGTTAGACAGCACCAATTCCCTCTTGGTATTGGGGCTGCCCCATGAGTTGAGGCATATATTGGCGTCATCCAAGGTCCGTCTGTTTGTACACTCTAGAAGGTACAATTCTTAAAATCCCTTCAGAAGTGTTTAATTAATAAATCATTCAACTGAATGTAGGTAATTAGGTCACAAGAAATTTGGTCACCGGAAATTTGGCCACAGTAAAAAGGTCACACGATAATTTAGTCACAGTAAAAAGGTCACACAGTAATACAGTTAAAAATTAATACCTTTGAACTGTGACCAAATTTCTGGTGTCCAAATTTCCTGTGACCTAATTACTGCGCCCCATTCAAATGTACTTTCTTTGCTTACATTAAGAAAACAAAACATAATTATCTCCCTTATCTAAGCAAGATAATTCTGATCTATGTTTCGGTGTCTTGAATCCTCCGCCAAAGGCGAAATGCCTTTGCCATGTCATTTTAGACTTGCTATTCGCGAATTAATGATCTCAATGTAGGTGTTCGTGTTGGTAATACAACAGTGTTAATGTTGCTATATGCTGACGATGTCGTGTTCCTTGCTGAGAACGAACACAATATTCAATCGACGCTCGTTTAGCTTAATGAGTGGTGTATCAAATGGCGAATGCGGTTTGGGTGTTCATAGATTAACACCAGTCCAAGCAATCTATAGAGATGTTGGTCTCATGCCAAGTGTCCAACGGCGATGGTTTAAAATATTCAAGTTCTGGAACAGATTGATCGGTTTGGACACAGGAACAAGTGTTTGATAACGACTACAGTTGTCCCCTAACACAAATTGGTGCACTGATATTAAAAACTGTTTGTAAAATTTAATATGTTGGAAATATATAATAATAAGTCATTAGGTGATATTTACATGGTTCATTCTAAAACCAACGAATTTTGATGAAACTTGGTGTGAGTGTTAGTAATCACCCAAGGTTAAACCCTATCGAAAATCAGAAAGATAGCTTACCAGGCAAGGTAATATACGCCAACTGGCAGCTATGATTTAAAAAAAAAAATTTGGCAGTACAGTATGTCTGAAGGTTGAATATTTCATACAGGTGATTGTTACTGTACTGCCAAATATTTGTATTTAAAATCAAAGCTGCCAGTTGGAATCTGGAATCAAATGAAACTTTGTTTTTAATAAAATAGATTTTAGAGTCTTTGTTTTTGATGAAATTTCCATGGTTGTACATGCTTTACATGGTTTCACATTCTTTCCATGGTTTCACATGCATTCCATGGTTTCACATTCTTTCCATGGTTTCACATGCATTCCATGGTTTCACATTCTTTCCATGGTTTCACATGCATTCCATGGTTTCACATTCTTTCCATGGTTTCACTTGCATTCCATGGTTTCACATTCTTTCCATGGTTTCACATGCATTTCATGGTTTCACATTCTTTCCATTATTTCACATGCATTCCATGGTTTCACATTCTTTCCATGGTTTCACATGCTTTACACGGTGGTATTTTTCTTGTACAAGGTTTACATCCCCAGGTTTATTGATCCCTAGCTTGTGTAGTTCTAAGCGTTGAAAAGATGGAGGAACAAATGGTCATATCTTCATCCTGTCAAAGCATCATAGTTTTTTTACAACTAAGACCACCATTAATCATCTTCATGATTGGTTTTGTTCATCTCTCATTTTTATTTGGAATTTTTATGTGGGCGTATAAAGAATCGCAAAATTAAGTGCAAGTTATTGCCCTTGTGTGTGAAAACGCCTTCCATTTTTAGCAGGTAAACAACCAAGATGGTACAATTATTGACAGATTTTGATGAAACTTGGTGTGAGTGTTATCCAAGGATGAACCCTATCAAAAGTTGAAAAAATATTTAATGAGTAAATGCTCTTGTTCTTCAAAAATTCGATTTTAGATTAAAGATAGCTTGTCAGACAAGGTAACATACGCCCACTGGCAGTTGTCACAGATGATAACTAAATCTTTATTGACCAAAAATATCTTCATAATAATATCAAATTTCTCATATTGAAGATCTTCATTATGCATTTGTAGTTCAAAAACCCTGAATATCTCATCAATTTAGGGTCAGTTATTCCACAAATCTTTTTAAATCAATAGCAATAACCCAGAAGCATTGAATTATCACACTCCTCTCGTGTCTGAAATTTTCAAAGATATATAATAAGGTATCATCAAATTCACACTAACAGGGTCTAATCTACATAGACAAATCTGAACGTTACTGAGATCTCATTAATATATACAGTATACTCTGCGTAATCCGACATACACTGGGACCGCAAAAAAATGTCGGATTAGCGAGAGTGTCGGAGTACTCAGAGTTTCGACAATTTTTAATGTGCCACGTGTTACTATTTATAGCTCAGTAACCCACATTCTACAGACGGTACCTTTCTAATAATAAAACAATAATAAAAGACAATTCCGTTGTATACGTTACTATTATTTAATTGTTCATTACTTTGTTTTTTCTATTGTTATTACCTGTTTAGCATCATGGCTTCTGGACAAGATCAACCTGGTAAAGGTCTACCAACAGATTCTAATGTTAACCCAGCAAGAGATGTCAGACCAAAGACTTTTAGTTTATCAACATCAGATGAAGATAATTTACTAGAAATTTTTAACAAGTTGGAAATTAAGCCAGACACAGATACACCAGAACAGTTTATAGCCTGGATGCAGCAATATCTCATATCTTCAGGAAAAATGAAGGAACCTGAACCTGAA